CAAGGCCAACAATATTCTAAATGGAGAAAAACTGAAAGCATTCCCTCTAAAAAAGGAACAAGACAGGGATGACCTCTTTCACCACTGCTATTCAACACAGTCCTGGAAACTCCAGCTACAGCAAGCAGACAGATGAAAGAAATTGAAGTGATAAGCATAGGAAAAGAAGAACTCAAACTATCACTATTTGGTGATGACATGATTCTATATTTAGAAGATCCAAACAATTCCATCAGCAAACTTCTAGATTTAATAAATGAATTCAGCAAAGTAGCAGGATATAAAATCAATACCCATAAAAATCAAATGCCTTTCTATACATAAGTGATGAATCCACTGCAAGAGAAATCTTCAGAATTTGCCCCATTCACAATAGCCTCAAAAAAATTTGGAATAAATCTAACAAAAGAGGTGAAAGTCTTCTACATTAAAGAAAGAAATTGAAGAAGACCTTAGAAGATGGAAAGATCTCCCATGCTCTTGTATAGGCAAAATTAATATAATCAAAATGGCCATACTACTAAAACTGCTATACAGATTTAATACAATTCCTATTAAAATCCCAATAACGTTATTCATAGAACTAGAAAAAGCAATCATGAAATTCATTTGGAAAAATAAGAGACCCAGAATAACTGAGGCAGTCCTTAACAAGAAGAATGAGGCAGCAGGCATCACTACCAGACCTTAAACTACACTATAGAGCAATAGTAACAAAAACGGCAAGGGGGGCTAGCATTGTGGCTCAGTGGTAGAGCGCTTGCCTCGCATGCGTGAGGCCCTGGGTTCGATCCTCAGCACCACATAAAAAATAAATGAATAAATAAATAAAAATAAATAAAGATTAACTCCCCCCCCAAAAAAAACCCTTTAAACAAAAACAAAAACAAAAAACGGCATGAAATTGTATTAAAATAGACTTGTAGACCAGTGGTATAAAATAGAAGACACAGAGACAAATCCACATAAATATAGCTATCTCATACTAGGCTCCAAAAACATACATGGAGAAAGATAGCCTTTTCAACAAATGATGCTGGGAAAACTGGAAATCCATATGTAGCAAAATGAAATTAAACCTCTAACTCTCACCCTGCACAAAAATCAACTCAAAGTGAGTCAAAAACTTAGGCATTGGAACTAATAGCCACTTCTATTAGGCATTGACTAATAGAAGAAAAAGTAGGCCCAAATCTTCATCATGTTGGTTTAGGGTCTGACTTCCTGAACGAGACTCTGAAACCACAAGAAGTAAATCAAGAATCAATAAATGTATATATATATATATATGTGTGTGTGTGTGTGTATATATATATA